CGTTTAAATTTTTTTTTTATCCCTTTTTTACTCGCTTTTTCCACCATAAATGAAGTTACAAATATTTTAACCCCTTTTTAGGGGCCAAACCATGATCTTTTGTCTGGGCTTTAGTCACTCGAATGCTGCGGGGGGTTTAAAATTTGGGGGTTAGGTACAAAAAGAGTGCCTTTTATGTGGTAAATGTCACCATATTAAACCAAAAATTTCCCGAGGGACACAGTGCATAATGAGGGGAAAAAAAAAAGTGGGCCCCCCCCCTGTTTTTTGGATTAAAACACCGACTTTTTGGTGTATTTTTTTATGGTTTTTATGGGGGTTTTCAAATTTTATGGTTTTTTGGGCTCTTTTTAAAAGAATTTGGGGAAAAAATATTTTCCCGAAATAGAGATGATTTTTTTATTGGTTTTTTGTTTTTGAAAAAAAGCTCCAATAGCAGGGAAAAATTCGATTTAGGGTGATGGTTTAAGAAAAATAAATGGGCGTCATGCACCCCAAAACACCCTCAAAATGGGGGGGGTCTAAATATTTGTTACAAATGCGCGATTTTTATTTATACAAAATTTTTTAAAAATTTTTGCATAAAAAGTAAATCTTCTTTTTTTTTTGGGGGTGTGAATAAAAATTCTTTATGTAAATAAAAAATCAAGCTTGGAAACATAACTAATAAACAGAGGAAATGTTATTTTAGTGCCAAAAAAAACAATGCCAGCATTGTTTATTCTGGACCCTATTTTGAAATTGGAATAATTTGAACTTTGTATGAAATTGGCCAGTTAACCAATTTCTGATCACTTTACTGGGTAGTTTTTCTTCTCTTTTTTAGTAAATGTCTACAGGAGAGGGGTTACTAGCCCATCGCTCCTGGCATTTTAGTCGCCTCATACGACACGCATGGCTTACGGAGGAAAGATTCTTTTCCACTTCCCATGGACAATAGAAGAAATAAAGAAGAACAAGAGCTATTTAGAAAAAAGAGAAAATACCTAGATGTATGTATATATTATATGCATGTGCATGTCTGTGAAGTGTGACCAAAGTGTAGTAGGAGTAGCAAGATATCCCTGTTATCTAGCATGTTTATGAGACAGAAAAAGACACCAGCAATCCTACCATCATGCAAAACAGTTACAGGTTTCTGTTTCACAGTCATCTGGCAGGATGGTAGTACTTCCCTGGGTGGTTGCTGTCTACCAACCTACTACCTACCCAACCTGAAGGAGGGGTGTTAATGTTGCAGTTTAAAAAGTGTAGTGTTTAAAGCACCCTTCTGGCAAGACAGTGATGGAGTGAATGATGGTGAAAGTTTTTCTTTTTCGGGCCACCCTGCCTTGGTGGGAATCGGCCAATGTGTTAATACAAAAAAAATTATTTACTGGGTAGTTTAAATAGTTGATTGGGCAGTTTCTTGTGCTCAGTTGATCAAATAGAAGTAATACTAGCAAAATAGCTAAGAATTTGGTCAACTGGAATAATGTAATTGACCTAAAATAGGATGCGATGTGTAAATATCGCTGATGCAGTAAAATTTGCGATAGTGTAATTTAGTCAATTTTCCATCAAATTTTGTACTTTTTGTTTTATTACCTTAAGGAAAAGATTCTCTGCCATTTCATAAGAGAATCATTTTTTTTAAATTCTTGAACTTTCAAAGCTAAGTAATAAGTGTATTGTATGTCCATTTTATCGCTCTAGGGTGCTTTAAATGTCGTAGTATATTATGTGTGGGTGGGTGGGCCGTGAGGGCTACCATACCTAGCATACCTGACCTCTTACAAATAAATACTACTCTCCTCTCACCCTACATTAAGACTACAATATTTTGAGGTAAGTAATGAGTGTACTGTGTGTGTTTTTTACTTTTTATTGTTTTATAATGCCTGGTTTATTGCTAACTTAATGTATGTTACTGTAAACTTATCTGGGATTTATATGCATTTATAAGTGGAAAAAATGGCGTTCTGCTTTCCAACGATCTCCGCTTTCCGGCGGTAGTCTGGAACCTAACCTGCCATATAAGTGGGGCCTACGTAAACCACCACACACAAAACCCCACCCCACACA